AGCAGCAGCAGCAGCAGCAGCAGAGGAGCGGCACCACCTGTACACGGACCACCGCGTGGCCGCGGGGTTCACCTCGACGGCCGTCGTGGGGCGCAGCGCGCAGGTGTACAGACACCTGACGGCGCGGGAGAAAATGCTGCCCGTTTACTTTTGCTGCCAGCAGCAAAAGATAAAAAGTTATGTTCGGATGGAGACGAACTGTGGGGCGCTGAACCTCGAGGTGTACACACACCTCGCGCCCCGAGCAGCAGACAGCTTCCTGCGTCTCTGCAGCAGCAGCTACTTCGACAACATTCCCTTCCACAGACTCGTCCCCAACTTCTTGCTGCAAGGCGGCCGCGCGGAGCTCCGCATGCAGCAGCAGCAGCAGCAGCAGCAGCAGCAGCAGCAGCAGCAGCAGCAGCAGCAGCAGCAGCAGCAGCCGATGGTGAGCCGCAGCGGCTTCGAAGACGGAGAGCCCTTTGAGGACGAGCTGCTGGGGCAGCTCAGCCACGAGGGCATTGGCGTCTTGGGCATGGCCAGCAGCAGCAGCAGCAGCAGCAGCAAAAAGAAAAACCTCTCCGAGTTCTACATCACCTTCAAGTCCTGCAAACACCTCGACGGGAAACACACCATCTTCGGAAGAGGTGATTCCTCCTGCTGCTGCTCCTGCTGCTGCTCCTGCTGCTGCTCCTGCTCCTGCTGCTGCTGCTGTGGTGGTGGCACTACTGCTGCTGCTGCTGCTGTCGTATCTCGGCTGCTGCTGCTGCTGCTGCTGTAGATCTGCCGCTGCTGTTGCATCTCGGCTGCTGTCGTCTTAGCGCCTCTGCATCTGCATCTGCTGCTGCTGCTGCTGCTGCTGCAGTCGTTGGGGGCCTGGAGGTGCTGCGGGCGTGGGAGACGATCCCAGTGGACTCGCGGGATCGTCCCCAGCGTCCTTTATTTATTCAGAAAATGCACATCTTCAAAAACGGAATAGAAGAAGCAAAATTAAAACTCGAAAAAGAAAAAAATGAAAAACTCAACAGACAGGCCGAGGAGGCCAAGGTGAGCTCCGGTGTACGTACACCCCGCGCAAGTGCCTCCGAGGCTTCTTTCTTCTTTTATTTTCTCTTTATTTCCCTTTTGTTTTCTTTTTATTGTTTTCAATTGTTTTTTAATTGTTTTTAATTGATTTTTAATTGTTCTTCAATTGCTCTTTAATTGTTCTTTGATTAGTTTTTAATTTTATCCAAAGTGCGCCCAAAATGCCTCCACTCCAAGTGTTTCCAAATGTCCCTTTTGCTGCTGCTGCTGCTACTGCTGCTACTGCTGCTGCTGCTGCTTCTGCTGCTGCTGCTGCTGCTGCTGCAGGCGCAGGCTCGTCCATGGTTTAACAACAAAGACGCTTTGGACTTTACGGCGAACCACCCGGAGCGGCATTCGCGGAAAGTGGGGAAGTACCTGCCTGCTGCTGGGCCAGCAGCAGCAGCAGCAGCAGCAGCAGCAGCAGCAGCAGCAAAGGGACAGCCCCCTCGCCCACAAGACCTTATGGGCGAAGCAGCACTTTACGCGTTGGCTCCCAAAAAGCCCAAAGTGGCCCGCAGGGGCCTCGACTTGTCTTCTTGGAGTTAAAACAAAAAGATAAAAATGAAAATAAAAATAAAAAGAGACAAAAGGAACTTTGAGGAGACAGAAAGAAAGCTGGAGGAAGCAAAAGGAGATTTACATTGGAAAAGAGGGAAAAAAAGGAGAAAAAAGATTAAAGAAGATCAAAAAAGATTAAAAAAGATTAAAGAAAGATTAAAAAAAGATTAAAAAGAGACAAAAAACTCAAAAAGACAGGAGGGAGATAACTCCACAATGCTCTTTCGCCAATGTCTCCTTTTCTCTGTCTGCCTAGCTGTAGCTAGCTACAGCTAGCCAGAGCTAGCTGTAGCTAGCTCTAGCTAGCTGTGGCTAGCTTTGGCTAGCTTTGGCTAGCTGCGACTAGCTCTAGCTAGCTGTGGCTAGCTGTGGCTAGCTGTGGCTAGCTGTGTGGCTAGCTGTGGCTAGCTGTGGCTAGCTGGGCCTAGCTGTAGCTATTTGTAGCTAGCTGGAGCTAGCTGTAGCCCAGATGCAGCTGGCCTCAGCTAGCTATGGCTAGCTGGGCCCAGCTGCAGCTAATTGTAGCTACCTTTGGCTAGCTGTAGCTGCACAGCAGCTGGCTGCTGCTAGCTGCAGCTAGCTGCAGCTAGCCAACGCTAGCTAGCTGTGGCTAGCTGTGGCTAGCTGTGGCTAGCTGTGGCTAGCTGTGGCTAGCTGTGGCTAGCTGGAGAGGCGCATGTCTCTTTGCTGCTGCTGCTGCCTCCTCGTGTATCCTTTTGGTCTTTCGTCTGCTGCTCGTCCAGCAGGTGCGCGGGTTTGAGAAAACCCTAAACCCTAAACCCTAAACCCTAGAGGCATCTAGGGTTTGCTGAATGCAGCCCCTAGACCCTAAACGCTAAACCCTAGAGGCATCCAGGGTTTGCAGAGTGTAGCACCTGGCTCGCGTTCGTGACAAAAAGCTCAAACTAGGGTTTAGAATGTAGGGTTTAGGGTTTAGGGTTTAGAGGCTACTACCTGTCGCCGAAGAGACACAGCTGGTTCTGTCTTAGCAGCGGCAGCAGCAGCAGCAGCAGCAGCAGCGCCAAAAAGCGAAATAAATAAATAGAAGTAATAATAAAAGAATAATAAGAAATGCAAAAAGAAATAATCAATTATAATAAATAAATAAGTCGCCAGAGGTACCTGCCAAATGAGCTCGGGAGGCCTGTCCGTCCACAGCTAGCTGTGGCTAGCTGCAGCTAGCTGTGGCTAGCTGTGGCTAACGGCAGCAAGCAGTGGCTAGTTGTGGCTAGCTGTGGTTAGCTGTGGCTAGCTGCTGGCTGTTGCAGCTAGCTGTGGCTAGCTACAGTTGGCTATACGTATTAGCTGCAGCTAGCTGCATCTGGCTAGAGCTAGCTGTAGTAGTTAGCTGCAGCTAACTACATCTAGCCGCAGCTAGCTACAGCTAGCCACAGCTAGCCACAGCTAGCGGTGGCTAGCCTCAGCTAGCTGCAGCTAGCTGCAGCTAGCGCAGCGCCTACTTCGGGGCTGCGTTGCTGCTGCTGCTGCTGCTGCAGTGTGGGGCCCCAGAGAAGCAAAAAAAGCCCCAAAAACGCATGCAGTAGAAAGCAGCAGCAGCTGAATGTGCTGTGGGGCCCCAGGGGCTGAAATGTGTGTAGCGTTGGTTGAGAATGGCTGTGGGCGCTGGTTAAGGGCCAAATAAAGCGGTTAGGGACTTATTTTGCTCGCTGCAGCCCGCCAGAGCCATCCTGGGCCCCTCAGAGTCTTTTATTTGTCTTTTTTTGGATTTATTTATCTGAAAAAAGTTTTAAAAAGAAGAAAAACTGCGAAAAGGAGCGGGCGCTGCGGTGTACGGACACTCGGCGGGTGGCAGGCGCGCGGCCTCGAGCACGGCGCGGCCGCGGGTCCCTTTTGAGGCATTTTTGAAGATTTTGCGGCCAAAACAACCTCGGAATGAAACTAATTTGTCATTATAAACTCATTTAGGCTTTTAAATTAGACTTAGGGGCTAAAGAAAAGACCCGAATCTCCCCGCCGCCTTCGAGACGGCGGCGCGGGCGCGAGCGCATCGCGGCGGCGCGGCTGGGGTGTATCGACAGCTCGGCGGAGCACGGGGAAGGCTCTCGGGAGTTTCTTTTGTCATTTAATTTATTTATTTCCTTTTAGTTTCTTCAAATAAATCCATTTCCTGCAGCAGCAGCGCGCGCAGCAGCCAGTCCGCGCCGCCGCGGCCCGCCGTCTCGACACCCCGCGAACCCCGCGAGACGACTTTCTTTGGTTTTACGCCTCCAGACTTCTTTGAGAACTTTTTAATTCATTAAAAGCAAAAAAAACTTCTTTTCATTTCTCAAGGGCCTCAGGGGCCCCCAGGGGCCCTCCGAGGGCCTCCGCAGGCCTCAAGTGACTCTGTCTCATCTTTCCCACTTTTCCCCCTTTTCCAATTCCTTTACAAACCAAATGATCCACCTCAAACCCTAAACCCTAAACCCTCGACAGCGACACACCCATTTCTCCAACCCAGCCCCCCTACCCCCCAAACCCTAAACCCCAAACCTTAAACCCTAAACCCTAAACCCTGGAGGCCTGTCAAGGGCTTTTTCTCTTTTTTCCCAGGCGTGACTGCAGCGTCAAGGCCAATATATGAGCCCAAAGCCAAAGCCCTGAACCCTAAACCCTAAACCCTAGACCCTAAACCCTAAACTCTAAAACCTTAATCCAAAACCCTAAACCCTCGTCTGGCCCACTTT